ATAATAATAAATTCATAACACAATATATAAACACAATACCATAACAATACTCAAACATAAAAGGGCAAATACCAATTTTGGTCCCACGAGTATTAACAAAATGACAATTTTGGTCCACATGTTTAATTCCTACCAATTTGAATCCACGATTATTGTTTTAGTACCAATTTTCATCCACGACTATTATTTTAGTGTCAAAATTCACTACGCCGGTCACTCATTCGTTTAAAACATGTTGAAATCTAACATTTTAAAAAGTATTTTCATCCTTTTCAACTTAAGATCTCAATGTGAGCATTAATAATGAGATTTAAGCCCTAAGATCGATTCCAATTCGGAGTTCTACTCCTCATCCTACTTTAATTTGAGAAGGAGAACTGTGAATTTGAATCGATATTAGGGCTTAAATCCTTATATATATAATCATGCTCAAATTGGGATCTTAATTTGAAAATGACGAAAATACTGATAATAATTTCATATTTCGGCTTATCCAAACGGAGGGATGACCGGTCTGATGAATTTTGGTACTAAAACAATAGTCATGGATGAAAATTGGTAAAAATTAAACACGTAGACCAAAACTGTCATTTTACTAATACTCATGGGACCAATATATATATATATATATATATATATATATATATATATATATATATATATATATATATATAATTTCGATTAACCGTTCGGTTAATTCGGTTAACCGATAGTTTCAAACTAAATTAACCATTAGCCGAAATTTTGCAAATCCTTTAACCATTAACATAATCAAATTGAAATTTTTTGGTTAAAAAACAGTTAACTGAACTTTTACCGAAATTTGCACACCCCTAATAATTTGAGAAGGAAGCATCCTGATTACCTCCAGAACCTAATAATTTGAAGTTTTATTGTAGCTAAGGAAGTAACAACTGACATAGAAGAGAAGGAATGATTTTGTAATAACTAGAAAATTATTAAACAACCTTTTGGGAAAATTAAGGGCCGTTTGGAAAGCAAAAAAATGACTTTTGGAAAATGAGTCATTTTCAGAAAACATTTTATTTTTTGTATTTGGCTGCACAACAGAAAACTGTCTTTGTGTATTTGGTTCATTTTCTAGAAGAGTTAATTCCAGCAATGGTCCTCTGACTATTGCAATTTTCCAAAATTGATCCTTGACTTTTAATTTAGACAAATTAAACCCTTGACTATCAAAATCGTTCCACCATTAGTCCTTCCGTGAAACTAATGTTAAGTAGACATTAAAAACAAGGACAAAATCGTCCATTCATATAGTGGCTCTTTCTCCCACCTAACTCAAAAAGTCAAGGAAAAATATTACTGGTCCGGCGACCTTCCTTGTACAACGGCGAGCTCCAGCGCACTTGGAACTTCCGACGACGGCAGCAACAGTTCAGGCGACGTTTGGGTCGACGGTTGAGCAGTTACGGTTACAAGGACAGCGGTAAACAAAGGAAATTGTGGAGTGGAGTTTCTGGAATACCAAGGCACTTCCTTAATTCAAATGGAGCTCTGAATCACCTCTTTCTACTCCACTATACCATTCTTGGATTCTTTTTCTTCTTCAATGGAATCTTGTTTTTCTTCATGGTCAGCAACCTTGATCCCGCCCCTGAATCTACCATTAACAAGAGGTGGAGGGAGTGCCAAATTTATTGCCATTTTGCATAGAAAAAGAAGATTCACACCTTGTAATATTAGGAGTATAAGTCACAAAGCCTCAGCCGCAGCTTTTACATACAGAAACTTTGTTCATTATGCTTTGGAAGAAACCAAACTCCATACCCATTTATCCCCTTCTCCATTGCAGGTACTGATTCCTAATCCAGACCCAAATTGTATTTCTTTGCTTATGCCCAAATGTGTTGTTATTTGGTTGGTAGTGTAATTATTCTAATGAGTATTTACGTAGCATCAGACCAACTAAACAGAAAAGGAACATAAATCTGCTAGGTATTTCTAGTTTTTGCTAACCATTCAAAGGCGCTGTTGACTCCATATGTTTATTGAAGACATTACAAGATTTGTCTGCACACTTGCTGCGTATATCTAAGGATGCACGTTGTTAATCAATTAGTGCTCGCCGTAACTGCTCCACGGTAAACAGAGGTCGCTGATTAGACCCAGACGTCGTCGGAACTGTTGTTGCCGTCGTCGGAAGTTCCAGCTGCGCCAGAGCTCGCCCCTGTACAAGAAAGGTCGCCGGAGCTCGCAGCTGTACAAGGAAGGTCGCCGGATCTCGCCCCATCGCCAACGTCAACGCTGTGCAGGAATATCATGAAAATCTCAAGTGTCCTATCTCACTTGTCTTGCCACTTTGCTGTGATTGAGGAGCCATCTTTACATGCTATGCACCAGTAATATTTTTCCTTGACTTTTTGAGCTAGGTGGGAGCACGAAAGAGCCAGCATATGAATGGACAATTTTATCCTTGTTTTTAACGTCTACTTAACACTAGTTTCACGGAAGGACTGATGGTGGAACGATTTTGATAGTCAAGGGTTTAATTTGTCCAAATTAAAAGTCAAGGACCAATTTTGGAAAATTGCAATAGTCGGAGGACCATTGCTGGAATTAACTCTTTTCTAGAAAATGATGTAAAATTGTATAATTAATTATTTTGTTTAAAATATAAAAAAAATTATAATAATATTATAAATAATAATATTAAAAAATTTAAAAAAAATGACGAAAACCAGAGAGTACAAAACTCTTTGGTTTCCGGCTGGAAACCAGAGAGCACTGCTCTCCGGTGTCTGGCCGGAAACCAGAGAGCACTGGTCTCTGGTTTCTGGCCAGACACCAGAGATAGTAGTTGTAGGCCAAAGTAGGCTCCGAAAAATGACTTCTTCCCCCCCCCCCCCCCCCCCCCCCCCCCAAAAAAAAAAAAGGAAATCATTTTCCTGAAAGTTGAGGTCATTTTCTATTGACCAGTCCTTATTTTTCTTTGGCATTTCATTTTCCATCTAGCCAAACACCAGAAACCCGGAGAAATCATTTTTCGGGTTTCCAAACACACCCTAAGTATTTTTGTCCCCAAAGAAAATATTTATACATGCATATATGTTCATGTGCAAATGGTCTTATTTTTCCTACAAACTATCCATATTGCATAATTAAAACTAGATAATTCCTAATTTGGTCACTATTTAACAGGGAGGTATACCTTTGTGTCAAATTAGAGGATTAAATTTGTGAGCATGACTTCTATTTACATGTCACCAACAATTTGCAATTTTATACACATCATTTTTGACATTATACAAGTTCATATGTTTTTTTTTTTTTTTTTTTTTTTTTTAAATTTGGCTACTGGTAGTATATGGTTTTTTTTTTTTTTTTTTTTTTTTCATTATTGATTAAATAGCCATAAGAGTTCTTAGTTTTTAGACTCTATTTTAGTAATTTTTGGCCACGTTTCAACTATTTTTTGGGCATTTGGTTGAGTTCGCTCTTGTGATAATAGTTATTTGATACGTGTATGTCTTAAATAGTTAAATGTTGATAGTTATCTCATATCTTATGTTTTAAGGGAAGCTATAGTCTTGAATTCTAAGTATAACATTGTCCAGAAGACTAAATAAAGCACTAATTTTTCTCTATTACCCCTTAAATCAAGACCTCAAGAATATTCATAGAAATTTAGTTGACAATGGTTATGGTTGTTTGATTTTTTAAAAACATTTTTTTAACCTTTAATGAGGTAAAATTCAGCAACCATTTTTAGATGATTGTCATGGGTTGATGGAGTTACCAACCATTTTATTTTGATTGATGGTCGTAAATGATTTCATAATATTTTATTGTTTTGAATTTATTGATTCCAATTTTCGAACATCTTTATTAGTTAACTTAGTTCCAAATTTACAAAATTAGATTTTAGTTAGTCGTACCAACATTTTACCACTACTGGATTTATTTTCATTGCAATCCACAATAAATATTCAATTTTTTTTTTTTAAAGAAGAACTTAATCATTAAATCACGATAAAGGCAGTTCACAAGAAAACTAGGTGGAGTATCAAACCACTCCCCACAACATGATTCTGAACAAGCCTCCCTAGCTACTAAATTGGCGGCAGTGTTCGCAGATCGTTTAACAAAACGGAATTGGACATCCTCAATCATAGATGTCAATTCCTTTACATCATCAACTAGTAAACCAAAAGAAGAATGAAAAGAAGAGCATGAAAGTGCATAAAAGACTGTTTGTGAATCCATCTCTACATCAACACATCCCATTCCCGTGTCCTTGAGCCAGCTTAAAGCCTCCCCCACACACATAACCTCCGCTTCATTGACAGTATAGGTGCCATTCAAACATATATTCTTTGCTGCCAAGAACACACCATCATGATCCCTAAGAACCCAGCCTAAACCCATTGAGTTTGTTGTAGTGTTCAAGGATGCATCCGTATTCAGCTTCAATCGACCCAACATTGGCGGCTTCCACTGTTCACACATCCCAGTCGTGCTTCCTGCATGGTCCTTAACATTAACAGAAGTCCAGTTTTTCCAGAAAGAAACGGCACGACGTAACATTATATTTGCATCAAAAGCTATTCCTTTCCAAACACTATCATTTCGACTTTGCCACAACCCCAGCATGCCATAATATACTTGTTTAAAGTTTCCCCATTCAAATTATTAATAAATGCAAAAAACCAATCGATGACATTACCATAATCCACACCCGATGCTGGCAGTCCAATTTGCCTCTAAACATTAGCAACTTCTGTACATCGGACAAAAATGTGGTAAGCACTTTCAGGTTCCGACCTGCACATATGACAAATTAAATTGCAATGAATATTTTTTGTTTGGAGGGAATCTCTAGTTGGCATATAGGAAGAAGCTAGTTGCCAACAGAAATGCTTGACTTTCGGGGGTACATCAAGATTCCAAATTCGAGTCCAAGGTCTGGCATCGTGAACCTCACCTTTTAAATGCCGGTAGCATGACTTAACAGTGTAGTCCCCTTTCGGCTCTTAAACCTAGTACCACGAGTCCTGTGGCTTTCGGACAGAAATTGGAATATTCAAAATTAAATTGGCATCCTGGGCATAAAAAATATTCCGAACACGATCGACATTCCAACCCGTTCCTTGTTCATTAAACAACGTGGCCACACACAATTCAAAAACCGCTTCACACACTGGTGTTGTGATGTAGGGTTCATCAATCGAAGGCAGCCAAGCATGCCTTCCGATCACCGTCTCTATTCCATTGCTAATACTCCGCCTACATCCTTCTCGCAGGACATTCTGAACCTCTAGTAAACCCCTCCAAATAAAGGATGAGTTACTTCCTGCTGGTGCATCAAAGTAGGAGCTGTTTGGATAATAGCGGGCTTTGTAAATTTGAGCAACCAAATACATAGGATTCTTGACTAACCTCCATGCTTGCTTGCCCAATAATGCCAGATTCATTTCCCTCAAAGACCGGAAACCCAATCTTCCTACACCCTTTGGGCGTGACAGACCATTCCAAGACCTCCATCTCAGGCACTTTCCATTACCCACTGTGCCAGTCCACCAGTATTCGTTCATTAGAACTTCAATATTCCTACACAAACCTTCGGGCAGCAGAAAAACCATCATCGCATAGCTAGGCATTGCTTGGATGACGTTTTTCAACAGCACCGCTCGCCCAACTCGAGAGAGGAACTTAGCATTCCAACTTCGCACCTTTGTTAGGATTCTGTCTTTCAAAAACCCCAAAATTTGTGTCTTTCTTCTCCCCACTAGCGACGGGAGACCTAAATATTTACCAGCCGTGTCCCCTTCCGTTACTCCAAGAATGTGAGTTACTGCATTACGGGCTGTTAAAGTAACATTTGCACTAAAGCATACCATGGACTTTTCATAATTTATGCATTGGCCTGAAGCTGTAGAATAAGTATCCAACACATATTTCATACACTGCGTTTCCTCAGAGTTTGCCCGGAGAAACAGAAAACAATCATCCGCGAACAATAAGTGAGATATTGGTGGAGCTCCCCGAGCTACACGGATGCCATGCAAACGCCCCATATTCATATACTTATCAATCATAACACTCAGCCCCTCCGCAACTAACAGAAATAGGTAAGGTGACAGCGGATCTCCCTGCTAGCATAACCCGCGTCCCGGTTGAATAGGGCCCAACTGTTGTTGTTCATATAGAATATGATAATTCACTGATCGAACCATCTCCATTAGAATATTAATCCACTTTCTATCAAAACCCATTTTACTCATTACAGCCTCAAGGAAAGTCCATTCTACCCGATCGTAGGCCTTGCTCATGTCCACCTTCAATGCAACCACCCCCTCTTTACCTTGAGTTTTCCGGCGTTGATAATGGTGAGCCTCGTAGGCTAACATTATATTATCCCTGATTAGCCTCCCGGGTACAAACGCACTTTGAGCATGCGATATAATCCCCTCTAGAAGTGGTTTGAGCCTGTTTGCACAAACTTTTGCAGCAATTTTGTAGACCACATTACATAGTGCAATTGGTCTCAAGTCTTTCATCGTATCCGGCACTGGCTTTTTTAGGATAAAAAATATGTAAGTTTCATTTGCCTTAGATGGGAGAGAAGAGGTTTGAATGAAGTTTCTACAGAAAATCGTTACCGGCTCGCCCACAATATCCCAATAAAATTGGAAAAACCCCGGGCCTAAGCCATCCGGCCCCGGCGACTTGTCCGGATGCATTTGGAAAACGGCTTTACGACATTCATCCATACTCACTGGTCGAAGTAACCTTGTGTTTTCCTGAGATGTTACCCTGGCAGTGATACTTGCTATAACCTCGGCCATATCCCCCTGCTCAGATGCAAACAAATTCTGGAAATAATCCTTCATGACTTGGCCAATATCCTTGTGTCCACCAAGTTCCCAGCCTCATCCCTCAGTTTCAAAATTCTATTCCTATTCCTCTGCGATTTCACCGAGTTATGGAAAAACTTGCTATTGCAGTCCCCGCCTTTATACCAGTGTTCCTTCGCTCGTTGTTTCCAAAAAGAGTATTGTTGTTCTAGAAAATGAAGCATCTCCCTCTCCGTATGACCATACTTAGCTATACTATCCTCATCTCGCCGACCACGTTAAAAATCCAACATCCTCCTGCAACTCTCAATGCGACGCTGGAAGTCCCCATTGAAAGTCTTTCTGTAACACCCCCGATTTTCATACCAATTTAAACCTTAAACATGCAGATAATTCTAACCATAAAAGCATACATAACGGAAGACTTAAACATGAAATAGATGGAAAACGTAGAGTGTTATGCCACGTCCACACAACGGTGAACGCACAGGCGTAAACCACATCAACATAATCTGTCTATCCAAGAACAAGGTCAACAACAATAAGTCTAAAGTCTATCAAAGGGCACACAGGCCAAAACATACTACATGACTGAGGGATCGATACTATCTGTCTCTAGACCGCGCTCGCCTACTCAGCACCTGAAAGAAACACATAAATATATGGGACGACGCCCGGTCAGCGAATGATGCTGTAACCCACCAATACATGTGAAATATCATACATAGATAGGATATATATATATATATATATACAAAATCGTTTGCGAAATGAGATATAGTATATATAAGTTCAAAGCCAAAATAGAAGTCAATCACAAGACTCAATACACTCACAACAAAGACAAGGGAACACATCCCAAGACCACAAGAAGCAATAACGACTCATAAGAACGGCTCAAGGCGTATTCTACCATCACACAGTAGAATATCACCCGACATGCATAAATCAAGAGAATAAGGACTCACACATTGGCAACACATGCCTTGGCAACACATGCCTTTGTGACAACACATGTCACAAATAGAGAAATACACAACAATGGCAACACATGCCTTCGTTACATCACCCATCACTAATTGATATGCCTTCCTTATGCCCGGTTCCAACCTTATGGCTACCCCCAACCTTATGTCTAGTTCCAACCTTTACCTCCAAGACCCCTGTACACCAAGTCCAACCTTTTCCCTCCGAGGATCGTCGTCCCCATCCGCCGACAAACCGCCAACAAAACCACCAATTCATAGTACACGAGGGTACCGATCACACACATGGCAACACATGCCTTGGCAACACATACCTCCCAAGAAATACGTGAACCCGACACACAGGTCACAAACTCCATAATCACGTCATGGCCACCACGAGGACCATTGCCGTACCTTGGTGACTAATGTCTCATAACATTAATCGTGCAATCCAGGTACAACCACACACACCCCAACACCATCACAGGGATCAATCAACGGATCACAACGAAGATATGAAACTGTTAGACAATTTTAAATGTCCTCGCAAGTGCACGAGTCGGTTGTAGTTATAGCGTGCTTTTAGCAAGGGTCGATCCCTCAGAGAATTGATACGGTGCAATTTAATAACAAGAAAATAATTGAATGGAATAAACTTAAAGAGTTTAACAAAAAGTCTGAATCGCAGAATAAATAAATTAAAAGTACGCAAGAACATAAATATTAAAAACTTAGGAACAAAAGGAAATCACAGGCAACTTAATAGATAACGGAATGATAAAAATCTAGAAACATGAATCAACTACAAGTGCGAATAATTAAATTAAAGTTCAGGAAGCTAAGTAAATAAATTACGAAATTAAATAGCAATTAAACTTGTAAAGCATAAGGAATGCATAAACAATTTGACAGGGATTAGCTCACTCAACCGTGTTCTCCACAAAGTCACCCAATAAATTAACAATAAACAATACTCAGGAGAATAGTTAAGAATTGTTGTATTCAACTTGTTGCCTAATAAATTGCAAAAGGCGAGATACTAACCAAGAAACAAATTGCTACCAAAAGAGATGGCCGCCGCCGTAAAAAAAACCTCCACCGCCAAGCCAATTTTATGTTGCCAATGAGAAAGATTAATCACGCTGCTTGCACCAAATTGAACCTGTCTCCGCCGTCTGGAAGCCGTAGGAACGGCCGCCGGAAATTGGTTCTGGGTGAATTGATGATTATCTCCCTTTGATTGCTCTCTTTTTATATTGCTCCGCCCCATCAATTTCTCCTTCTTTCCGCCATAGATTTCTCCAACCTTCGTACTAGCTTCGCAAACTGACCATTTCTTCCGGCTCTGATTCACGATCATCGCTGACCCTCTCTTCGTTCGCTTCTTACGATGGACTAGGAGGAAAACAATAATAATAATAATAATAATAATAATAATAATAATAATAATAATAATAATAATAATAATAATAATAATAATAATAATAATCTTATTATAGACCAAATATAACTAATCTACATTTATTAAACTCCTGCTGATCATGTACTACTAAAATTAATATTATTATTTTAAATTAGGATCAAAGAATTATTGGACTGACAGAATTCAAATAATAGACAAATTTAATAAAAACAACCTAAAATTGAATAACATTACTAAAAACTAATTATAGCAATAATAAATAAAAATAGATAAGAATTAATCAATTATTTGCAACTTAACTATAAAAAGATTATTTAAAATAACATAAAAAATAATGTTTATCAGAAACCATACTCAACAAGGAATGGATTACAATCCGACAACAACTATGATTGACACAAGTCATCATCCACAATAGGATAAGACAAACAACACACACGCTAGCATTTAAACATCGAACTAGCATGCTTATCAAATGGGTAAACCAAACATAGTTCCGAAGAACACACAAGACTCATGACAGTTCAACGAATCACAATGTTGAACACTTAGCACGATTCAAGACACCAAACCTACATGGATTCCTACCATATAGTTCTAGACATACAAAACATCAAGAAGACACTCAAATAGTTCCACAAAAGAACATCGGGAAGTCAAAAGAATCAGGGGGAACAAATTCCCGAACAACACCATATATGTACCCGCGGGTGGGGCCACGAGTGGACCCCCACCCGTGGTTCCGCCCGCGGGAACCAACGTCCCACACCACTCGTACCCCGCGGGTGGGGCGGCGGGTGGACGCCTACCCGCCGTTCCGCCCGCGGGTACACCTCTGTACCACAAATTATCCCTTCGGTGATTTTCAACACCAAGCTCAAATTCAAGTCCAAAACATGCCAAATCTCACCAAATACAACAAAATGACTTGAATCAAAGGAATAGCCAAGCAATGGCATACAAGAACCATAATAACAAGCTCTAGATATGCATTTTCACAAGACAATGCATCAACACTCACATTTCATAGCAAAATCACATGTAGAATCCAATAAATCATCATATAGATAAGAAAAATAGATTTTGTAGAGCATGGGTTACCTCTTGTAGACAAAAACCTTCACTTAAAACTTCTCAAAGCTCCTAACAAGGTCCACCTTCCACACCCACTTCAAGAACACACCAAAAGATCATAAAGATTCTATCTTTAAGAAAAGACAACTTAGAAGACACTAAAAACACAAAAGAAACATAGATCTTACCCTCCTAGATGCTCAAGAGTAGGAAATGTGGAATCTTGGAGACAAACTTTGAAGATCTTGGAAGGTCTAAACTTGGCTTGGAGAGAAAGCTAGCAAGGTTTTTAGAGAGAAGAGAGAACTTTTTGCTTTGAAAGTGTTAGGATAGAAATGAGAGATGTCTCCTAGGTTAACTTAGAATACAATCATGAAAGGAAATGTCCAAATTACCCTTTCTAAAATGAAGAGGTGTAAGGGAACAAGGGAACTATTCACAAAGCTTTAGGTACAACACTTGACTTTGGGTTTACTAGTCAATTACTAGTCCCCAACTATTGAATTTTCAGGAATTTAAGGAATTAAATTATCAATTGGATTAGGATTAATTACTTAATTAATCCCTTAATTGAATTTGGATTACGAGGTGTCACATCCTCTCCCCCTTAAAAGAAGCTTCGTCCCCGATGCTTGGGTACGACGAATTAAAACACACGATGGAACGAAACAACAATGTGACAAGAGTGTCAAAAACATCATCTTTGGTCAAAACTTAAAGGATTCAAAAGATATCGAAAGCAAGTAAGTGGTCAT